TCCTCAGTAGAGGCCAGTTTGTCCCTCGAGGACTTATTCCTCACTTGGAAGTCAATGAATGTCTCTCTACACTCAAGTGCGAAGCCCAAAGTCATTACACTTTGGCTCAGCAATGCCCTGGTGAGGTCCATTCACAGCTTGAGGCATAGAGCTGCCACCGGTCCGTCCAGAATTTGTAAAAACTTTCTGTCGTACTTCAAATATTCACTGGCAGTGCCTCTAACAAAGCTGGCGCCAGCTCCTCTTTACGTCCCGCCAGGAAACTGGGGGACTTCTCCTGAGTCCTGGCACGCTCCTGCTTCACCTTCTCCGCTACCCTCCTTGCAGTTTTTTTCTTTGGCCTTCTCGACCTCAACTTTCCTCACCATTTCAATGTTTATAGCCTTTATGGCAAAGTCCAGTAGCTTCGATTGAGGAGGGACATCCCTGCTGGAATGGGACACTGAGGTCACAAATTTCCTCGAGGAACTGGTAACATGGACCAGCTTCCTTTTCTTTTGGGAATCCTCGGGAACCTTCTCCTTTTCCCGAGGCTCCTTGGTCCTCTCCTTCCGAGGGGCTTCCTCCTCCAACCCCTTAGAGGTGCTCTCTTTGGAAAGGTGTTCCAACTTGCCTCTGACCTCTTTTACTGCATTGGAGCTCGACTTCAAAGGACTCGTCCCTACAGTAGAGGTGGCCCTCAAGATAGAGGCCATGTCTAGGACGGGGTTCTCCCTCTTAAGCTTATCTGCAAAAGGTAAACAACAGGTCAGCACTGGACATCAATCAAATAAAATTTCACAAGTGTTAGCACTTTTTCTTACCCTTAGAGGCCATCAATTTGAAATCAAGAAAATATCGACAAGAGTTAATAAGGTGGTTGAAGTGACGAAACTTTAGAGGTCACTTGTATATATCTTCTATCACCTCGAACTCCTCCTTGCTGAGCTCGAACCTTGTACTACAATATATAGAACAACCAACAATGGTTAGACAAAAATTGTGAAAATCTTGGCAGAAAGCAAACTACAACTTAAGCTGGGGCACCCACGAGTTTCGTAGTACTGGGTCGGTATTGTGCAAGCCAAGACTGTGTCCCCCTCCAGTACCTGCCACCTGCCTTTCACCCAGAATCACGACTTTTTCCATCCTTTGATGGAAGAAGGTAGCCTCACCACGAAAAGTGTGTAACCCTCCAAGGAGTGATGTAGTATCACCCCTTCGACTCATCTTCACCTAAGACTTGAGGTTGAAAGAGGCATGTCCCTTCCATAGCAATTATGACCCAACAAGCTGGCTCCGCCCATTTGGTAGAACCTGAGTCGGTGACATCATAAAGTTCTTCAGCACAGCTCTGAAGAAGGGATGCAGAGGAAGACGCATACCTGCCTTAAACAAGTATTCACTCACTACTACACATCCGAGCCTTGGAAAATAGGCACGCTCGTCGGCCTCGAGGACTATCATTTCTTTATAGTTGGGGACACAATACTTCTCCCTAATTTCACCCAGTCTCTTCGAGGTCATATTTGAAGCTATTCTACAGGCCCCTCAATCTTGCTCATAATATATAGGCTCCTCGACCATAGCGATGTGCCCAGCCTCGGAATCCTCGCTAAGCATTTCCTTAACCCCCAACCTAGCAATGGTGACTAACTCCCAACCAAAACTAGATGCCATTTAAATCGAGAAACACAAAATCACAAGTTCTGAATGAAAAATGGAATAACTACAGGGGTGACTAAAGGACGGCGAACTCAGACACGCCGAAAGATGGAATCTAAGAGAGAGTCTGGACGTCGAAAATTCAGAGGAAAATGAGAGAAATCAAATGAAGAAGCGTTCAAAATGGGGGTTCTTGGCCTTTTATACATAGCTAAGATGAATCCCAGCCATTGGATTGAGGCCCAATAAATCTCAACCTTTCATTTTCTGATCTAATTCGAAGCTTAGAATTCAAATCATCTTTGAGGTTAATGGCTCAGATTCAAACGTGCCTCCCACGAGCTTCTCCAAACGCGTCACCTTCTAAAAGCTCCAGTTGTGGCCATCATTACACAATTAATGCAGTAGCCGTACGTGCCTCAGGAGCCATAACGGTTCGGCTGCCTTTTCTCAAAAACATGCGCAAAATATAAAATCATTGGCACGCCTATCGAAGACAATTACTACAAACAAGCCTCGACAATTCAGCCACATCTTCACAAACCTCGGCAGGTTCGATTCACTCACTGCGTTAGCTCCTAGTCACAATTCAACCACATCTTCACAAGCATCGGTAAATTCGATTTACTCACCGCCTCAATTCCTGATCATAATTCAGCCACATCTTCACAAGTCTCAGCAAGTTCGATTCACTCACCGCCTCGATTCCTTATTACAACTCAGCCACATCTTCACAAGCCTCAACAAGTTCGATTCACTCATCGCCTCGGCTCCTCATTACAATTCAGCCACATCTTCACAAGCCTCGGCAGGTTCAATTCACTCACCGCCTCTGCTCCTTCATCATACCTTCACCAAATTAACGCGACAATACATTTTTAACTCCAACCATGACATAAATGACTATATTTGGACTTGGAGGACTATTGTTACGTGTCGATACACTTGGCCGACCCACTGTGCCCATAGCCCCCCATGTCGAACTACGTGGCATCTCAGCCGAAGCCCCTAAGCCAATGAAGATTGACCAACACCAGCAAACAGCTCCTATGACGTGGCCCAGATTCCATATGCCAAAGTGCAGTAATCGAGGTGGTGTACATAACCGAGGCTCTTCATACCGAGGCTCATTATACCTAAGCCAAAGCCCAGGACAACTGGCATCGCTTCTCCCCAGAGATCTGATCTCACACAAGAATCCTCTTTGAATGATGGATGGGACACCCATCATAGAGTGCAAATGTCTTATCTTGTCCAAGTAGCAGCGGCTCTGTCAATTAATAAATGTATAGCAGGCTAGGCGGTCAAACTTGATACCTACAATTTGACATGTAAACTAACAATATGAGGCTACATGTATTCCCAACCAAGATCCACGATCTAACTTATAATTGATGTGAGCAATCCAATTGAAATAAAAGAAAGTTTAGACAAGAAAGACACAAAAGGCAAAGAGAACATGCACAACCCCACCACTAAAGTCTACACAAACACAAAAGAAATGACTACTCCAATTGCAAAAAAAAAGTCTCTCTTCCAAATGTTAGATGAAATTATTGAATCATACTCAAAACTAAAAAAGAAGGCTGGCGAAGACTATGAAACTGACAACCAGACCAATGTCTCCACCCTGGGAAAAAATGAATGGAAATCATCTACGTTACTTTTGTAGTAGTTGGCAGTCAAGTAAGAATGCTTGTGTGTAGTTCCTTAATGAAGAATTCCTAGCTACTACTCTACTTACAATAACTTACTACTTTTGAGATTAAGAGGTTGAGAGGTTGCTTTGGGTTTTTTCTTTCTTCTTTATCCTTTAGAATGTAAACATTGTGATCTGCCACTGTATCCTTCTTGTACATTTACTATCAGTATATATGAAATTGTGTACTTTTGGTGAAGCACATTTCTGCAATCTATTAAATTTTGCGCTTTCAAGTCTACACACTTGTAATAGATAAATAAAGCAAACACAATAGTTATATTCATATTATTATTTATTGTAATGTACAAGAAATGTTCTATTTATAACTTTATTTCATTGCATTTGCCAATAATATAGCATTGCAACCATACGAACTACAAAATTCAAAGCACGAACCAACTAGAATAAACTTATCGACTTTACACAACTTTGTTTTCTTTGAATTGTTAAATTCATATAACATTGAGCACACTAACAACACTTCCAAAATAGTGCAACCCATGCATTGCATGGGCAGAAAACTAGTTATGGATAAAGAAAATGGTAATTAGAACATGACGTCCTTCTCTTTCACTTTTATTGTGAAAAATATTATTGTCTTTCATTTTTTGACATTTTCACCTTATTTACTCAAAAAGTCATTTTCATCTATTTTCTCAATTAAAATTAAGAATAACTAATATAACAATCTATTTAAATGAAATAAAAAGAACTAATTGAAATCATAGTCCTAATTTTTTTTAAAAAGTACAAATGAGTCTCAAATAAATTATTAAAAAATTAATTAACACATAATGTCCTTACATTTCACTATTATTGTGAAAAAGTCCATACGTTTCTTTTTTGACATTTTCATCATTAATTACACCTTTGATTGTGCAAACCGTCATTTCGATCTATTTTCATTCAATTTTCTCAATAAAAAACTAGAAAATGATAAATATACCTTCCTATTTAAATAAAAAAGATAAAGAACTAATTGCGAACATAGTCCCCATTTTTTTAAAAGTGTAAACGAGTTCCAAATAATTATTATTAAAAGATTAGAAATTAATTTTTTTACAAAACAAAATTGAGTCTCAAATAAATTATTTAAAAATTATAAATTAATTTTTTTTTTTAATCTAATTAGGAGACTGTATTTCATAATTTTTATTGAGAAATTTGATGAAAATGGATAGAAATGATAATTTATGCAATTAAAACTATAATTAAGTATGAAAATGCCAAAAAATAAAAATAGTTTAGACATTTTTTCACAATAATAGTTAAAGTTAGAAACATTATGCTTTAATTATCCTTTTAATAATTTATTTAAGACTAAAAAAAGGAACTATGATTGCAATTAATTCTTTTGTTTTCTTTTTCTTCATTTTATTTAAATAAAATGATACATTCGTCATTTCACAACTTTTAACTGAAAAAATAGATGAAAAGAAACTTTTGAGCAATGAAATGTGGAAATAAGGGTAAAAATATTAAAAAATAAAAGCTAATGACGTTTTTAACAATAACAGTAAAAAAATAAGGGCGTTATGTACTAATTACTCATAAAGAAAAAGTGTTATTTCACAATTTGTATGTTTTGTACAATATTTTCTTCTTCAATTGTGCTCAAAACTAAGGAACTACTATTATAATCTATTGTACATCCTTCGTTCTTCTTTTCTCAGTTTTTATTGAAAGATGCATTTGAAGAAATTACTTCTATTACAATCTATAGTAATTATGAAGAAAACAAGAAACAAATAATATCACATCATCTCAACATAATCCACAAGGGAAAATCCTTCAACCAATACCAAAAAACATCTACATGGTAATATAGAAAACTGATGTAAAAGCATTCCGAATTTTCATGGTTCTGGAGTTAGCATCCCACGATCCATTGCATAAAGATACAAGAAGTTACGCGTGATTGATAGTAAACCTCAACCATACTATCACAGAATGCATATATACGAACTCATCTCAAAAGTAGTCATGGAAACTTCAACAGACACAGCCATAGGTAATGCACATTTGTTGGCCATCCCTAAAGAGTGCAGAATGAACAGGCGGTGTTGAAATTTCACATGGTCACTAAGAGTGGAAAGCCATGAACAAGTTTTGCTTTCGAGCATGCTCTGGAATGAGGCGATGGACTATATCACGTGGAATACCTGAAAGCTCTGTCCATGAATAAAACGTCATGTGAAGCAAGTACAACAACAATGGCAACAAATAGTACCGTGGACAGTACCAGAGAAGAAAAAAGAAGTTAAAATCTTGTTTTTTATACCTTGAAGTCCTATCTAGTGCTACAACACACAGAAATAGGACTGCACAATATAATAAACGAGATTTTAGTTTATTTTTTCTCCAAAAATATTGTCGAGTCCTCATCTAAACCTCCCTACCTAACATAGCATCATAAAGGTACAAGAATTTCCAGATGAGCCACTGGCTAGCGAGTTGGATGTTTTGCCAAGCAGAATAAGAAAATGAAAAATCAAGGAAGCGTGCAATTAACTGAGTAATGACCAAATTGCCCCAAAAATCCGAATTCAATAAGGTGCCACCGAGAGACAAATTAGCCTCACATAAGAGGCAGCTCAACAAGGTGAGTATTGCTTTGAAAATTTTGAAGGCCCGATATAATAATCAAGGTGTGGCGAATCGGACAACCATATCAATAATATGCCATATATTGCATAAAATTGAGTTAAATTTACCTTGAGATTTAAAATTAAAGAGTGGAGGAAGAGGGCGACCATTAGGAAGGCGGGTGTTTGGGTCCCTCAGTTCATCAAAGAAAGGGTGAACACAAGCTTCCAACTGCAATACCAACATACAGATGATGATTTTTTTGGGAAGAAATTTCAAAATTGTATATTTCCTCAGTTGCTAATGAAAGATTAACTTACAGCAGTGCATCTAAGATTTGGTGAGTACTGAAAAAAACGACAAACCAGGTCAACTGCTTCTGCAGGCAGACACTTCTGGAATACCTGAAATATTAATCAAGGATACAGTCATATTGTGGAACAGATATTGAGATGCTGACCAAGAAAACATGCACCTGCAACTAACGACTAAAATAAAAAATATGTCAACACCTTAACAGCATAGGATGACACTAAACTCAAGCAAGCAAAGTGGAGAAAATATAAATCTCCAGTAATAAATTCTGGGAAGTTTTAGATTCCACAAGTTCAAAAATACAAAGTATATTTTTAAGCTGGCAAGCTCACTTGAATTGCTGATTTTAAATGTTACCAGAGACATCCAGGGCAGTAATTTCACAAAGATTCTTGTCAACGTGGAACTGGTGGTTCTCAAATTCTAACTGATGGCCCAGAACAAAAGAATAATAATCAATTCCTAGGCATCAGATTTGGATGCCACATTAATGGCTTCATTAGGTAGAAGATGGGCATCATATTGGCCTTCTGTGCATTGTATCTAACCAACATCAATGTCTAAACTAATCTAAGATAGTGCATATAAGTGTCAAACAATCAAGAATTACAAGTCAAGCTTTCACGGTAACTCAGAAGACGAATGCCATATATATCCATCTCACTGTCTTGAGCTATTTGACAGCTCTCAAGTTTAATGGGGACCACGAATGGTGATTGAACAAACCTTGTGCCAAGGATGGGGTTTTATCTGTGGAAACTTGAATTCAGTGTAGTTAGGATTCATGCATTTAATCTCCTCTCTGGTAGGCGTTCCCAGAACCTGAAATACAATTTAAAAGGTCATTGAAAATCGTGTGACCTTCATAAAATTCTTAACCAGTACTTAAAGATTTCAAAGGAGAAGTTACACTGGCAAAGGCAGTGGAGCAAGATTTTTAAGCCCCATAATACTGAGGATGGGTGTTATGCCAAAATTGCTTTTATTCTTAAACATCTCAACCAATAACTAGAAATCAAGCAAAATTATTGCTACTGATGACAAGAAAAAAAACAAAAACAACATTACTTTCTCTGTTTCTCATACTACAGATATTCCATGTAGATTTTTATTTCCATCCAGAACATGTTTTTGGAGTTTATTTTCTACTGCACCATTAGTCTACTTTATACGGAGACTGTTGGAACTTAGAAATTAACTATTTATATTTGATCTAATAATCACATGCCTCAATTGCAGGATATGCAATATCAGACTCAAACTTTTAGTGATTCACCATAGTCACCACTAAAATACTCATTTATGAGATCATAAGCTAACATGTGGAACCAGAGGCACCACCTTTATAATTTCAACGAGTTGATCAACTCCACTCTCTCCAGGAAACAAGGGCTGCATAAGAACATAGAGATAAATTAAAATTAAACAAATAGGTGTAAATTTTAAAAAGTAAATTGAAAAATTCAGATCTTTAAACCACCTGTCCAAGAAGTAACTCAGCCATTACACAACCAGTTGACCATATATCTATTGCAGTTGTATATTCAGTGGCACCAAATATGAGCTCAGGAGCACGATAATATCTTGAACAGATATAGGACACGTTTGGTTCTCCTTTCACCTAATGATACCAACAAACAAGTAAGCAGAAGCAAACCATAACACTAATAACTCATTCCACAGAGACTTACCAAAACTTTAGCACTTCCAAAGTCACATATCTTCAGCTGATGAGTGTGTGAATTCACCTGGAAGTTAACTAATAGTATTTAGCCAATTAGAAGTTTAAATGAAATGGTAAAAAAGCAAAGACAATCCACGTCAATTTTATAATCTGACTATTCAGGAGGACAACTGGTCACCACTCTTTCTGCCCTTACTCAAGTCCAAACGGATCCTATTGCGCACTTCCCAGACATATTTGATTGAAATAACCAGAAAATAAAAACAAAAACAAGTAGATAAGTCTCAATCACCTCAAGTGTCACTCTAATATTGTAAATAGGCAACTGAAGTGAAGATATTTTAGTGTGAAAGTAGCTTGTATCTATTGCACTATTCCACATGATAATCCTCAATGATATAGCTGTTTGGCTGTTTTCTTAATTCCATATGTCAGGTGCATATGAAATTTATTGTTACAGGAATCAAATAATGGGACTCCCCTCAAAGTTCTCATGATTAGTGTGTGTGTGTGCGCGCGTGCTCGGCATTACATGGTTTCTGTTCAGAAGGAAATTGCACGAGGTGCTTGGGCTACAGCAGACATTGACCGCTAAAGACCCAAAAATTAAACTAACATCACATTTCGTGAAATTTTTGACTCGGATGCAGGATTAATCTAAAATTAAATACATTGGTGATATGGCAATATCTTACAAGTAAATTCTGAGGCTTGATGTCGCGGTGACAAATACCAATATAATTATGTATATAAGCAAGTGCCCTGCATATCTGCACCCAGAGAAAGGTGGACAAATGAAATGCTAATAGAATGGTGGAAAACTAATATAGTACAATCAGATCAAAATTTTCTCAAAATATAATATTTCCAGTAAATATCTAGTCCACCCAGCTAAAAGGATTATACCTATAGTAAGATATTCCAGAGCAACATCTCATTTTATCAGGATACTTTTAAATAAACAGGGTAGGAGATGGGAATAAGAGAGTTAAAAAGGAACATAAGGATGTGAGACCCGTTCTTCCAGAGTCCAGGAACTTATTTAACATTCATATTAGCATGCTCAATAACTAATCAACAATTTCTTCTATGATAATACATAAACATGTAAAATTGTGGTTTTTGGATTGCCCTGGCATCCATTTACAATTTTCACTGATAAATGTATCAAAAAAGCACAAAAAATCCAGATACGAAACAATTGTTAGTTTAAATGCTTAAGTATGCGATATTCTTCTAACTTTTAGTAACCAAAATCATAAATGGAGTAAAATTTACTCCACCTTAAGTGGAGACAGAAGTGAAAATGAAATATGTGAATAAAAGCCAATCACAAACAGCTCATTTAGATGTGAAAGTAGTTTTACTGAAGTAGACATTAAAAATAAGGATGTAAATAAATCATGCCAGTAGTTAAAACATTAACATAGAATGTCAAAAATTTGCAGCCAGAATAATCAAGGGAAACAAAACTGCGCCGTGCAACAAACTCAACTTCGGCTTAAAAACCTCTGGATGAGAAATTAATATAATAAAATCACGTGCTGACCACTGTGTCAGAGAATTGATGAGATTCACTAATATTAGATCCTAAATATCAAATCTGTCACCCTCTAGCCAATCGTGTGAGTGCGTGCACACCCATACACAGAATAGAGGGATTCTACAGCTCAGGGTACTTAACACATCAAGGCATTTAATTAGTGGAAGAAATGCGAACAAGGAAAGACATAATGCATAGATAGCAACAAAAGTATATGCAGATTTATAACTAAATAAAATAACATTGAATAAACAATCAAAAAGTGCATGCCTGATAAGTATAAAGTTTGACATATATCAATGGCATTCGCTGGTTCATCCTGCTGTATTGCCTTGCAATACGATTAACAGTGTCAGGAACGTATTCAAGAACAAGATTCAGATACAGTTCTTCCTTGTCAGGATATGCAATATCAGACTCAAACTTTTAGTGATTCACCATAGTCACCACTAAAATACTCATTTATGAGATCATAAGCTAACATGTGGAACCAGAGGCACCACCTTTATAATTTCAACGAGTTGATCAACTCCACTCTCTCCGGGAAACAAGGGCTGCATAAGAACATAGAGATAAATTAAAATTAAACAAATAGGTGTAAATTTTAAAAAGTAAATTGAAAAATTCAGATCTTTAAACCACCTGTCCAAGAAGTAACTCAGCCATTACACAACCAGTTGACCATATATCTATTGCAGTTGTATATTCAGTGGCACCAAATATGAGCTCAGGAGCACGATAATATCTTGAACAGATATAGGACACGTTTGGTTCTCCTTTCACCTAATGATACCAACAAACAAGTAAGCAGAAGCAAACCATAACACTAATAACTCATTCCACAGAGACTTACCAAAACTTTAGCACTTCCAAAGTCACATATCTTCAGCTGATGAGTGTGTGAATTCACCTGGAAGTTAACTAATAGTATTTAGCCAATTAGAAGTTTAAATGAAATGGTAAAAAAGCAAAGACAATCCACGTCAATTTTATAATCTGACTATTCAGGAGGACAACTGGTCACCACTCTTTCTGCCCTTACTCAAGTCCAAACGGATCCTATTGCGCACTTCCCAGACATATTTGATTGAAATAACCAGAAAATAAAAACAAAAACAAGTAGATAAGTCTCAATCACCTCAAGTGTCACTCTAATATTGTAAATAGGCAACTGAAGTGAAGATATTTTAGTGTGAAAGTAGCTTGTATCTATTGCACTATTCCACATGATAATCCTCAATGATATAGCTGTTTGGCTGTTTTCTTAATTCCATATGTCAGGTGCATATGAAATTTATTGTTACAGGAATCAAATAATGGGACTCCCCTCAAAGTTCTCATGATTAGTGTGTGTGTGTGCGCGCGTGCTCGGCATTACATGGTTTCTGTTCAGAAGGAAATTGCACGAGGTGCTTGGGCTACAGCAGACATTGACCGCTAAAGACCCAAAAATTAAACTAACATCACATTTCGTGAAATTTTTGACTCGGATGCAGGATTAATCTAAAATTAAATACATTGGTGATATGGCAATATCTTACAAGTAAATTCTGAGGCTTGATGTCGCGGTGACAAATACCAATATAATTATGTATATAAGCAAGTGCCCTGCATATCTGCACCCAGAGAAAGGTGGACAAATGAAATGCTAATAGAATGGTGGAAAACTAATATAGTACAATCAGATCAAAATTTTCTCAAAATATAATATTTCCAGTAAATATCTAGTCCACCCAGCTAAAAGGATTATACCTATAGTAAGATATTCCAGAGCAACATCTCATTTTATCAGGATACTTTTAAATAAACAGGGTAGGAGATGGGAATAAGAGAGTTAAAAAGGAACATAAGGATGTGAGACCCGTTCTTCCAGAGTCCAGGAACTTATTTAACATTCATATTAGCATGCTCAATAACTAATCAACAATTTCTTCTATGATAATACATAAACATGTAAAATTGTGGTTTTTGGATTGCCCTGGCATCCATTTACAATTTTCACTGATAAATGTATCAAAAAAGCACAAAAAATCCAGATACGAAACAATTGTTAGTTTAAATGCTTAAGTATGCGATATTCTTCTAACTTTTAGTAACCAAAATCATAAATGGAGTAAAATTTACTCCACCTTAAGTGGAGACAGAAGTGAAAATGAAATATGTGAATAAAAGCCAATCACAAACAGCTCATTTAGATGTGAAAGTAGTTTTACTGAAGTAGACATTAAAAATAAGGATGTATATAAATCATGCCAGTAGTTAAAACATTAACATAGAATGTCAAAAATTTGCAGCCAGAATAATCAAGGGAAACAAAACTGCGCCGTGCAACAAACTCAACTTCGGCTTAAAAACCTCTGGATGAGAAATTAATATAATAAAATCACGTGCTGACCACTGTGTCAGAGAATTGATGAGATTCACTAATATTAGATCCTAAATATCAAATCTGTCACCCTCTAGCCAATCGTGTGAGTGCGTGCACACCCATACACAGAATAGAGGGATTCTACAGCTCAGGGTACTTAACACATCAAGGCATTTAATTAGTGGAAGAAATGCGAACAAGGAAAGACATAATGCATAGATAGCAACAAAAGTATATGCAGATTTATAACTAAATAAAATAACATTGAATAAACAATCAAAAAGTGCATGCCTGATAAGTATAAAGTTTGACATATATCAATGGCATTCGCTGGTTCATCCTGCTGTATTGCCTTGCAATACGATTAACAGTGTCAGGAACGTATTCAAGAACAAGATTCAGATACAGTTCTTCCTTGTCTGTTGTTGAAAAAAAAGAATGCTTTAGGGCCACAATGTTAGGGTGGTCCAACATTTGCATAATCTGCAACTCCCTATTCTTGTAGCGTTTGTCTTGAAGAACCTTCTTGATAGCAACAATTTCTCCAGTCTCTTGGCATTTTGCCTGTTGTAAACAGTTTGAATCACTAAACAACATAAAACAATGCACAAACCATATACTTAAAACTCAAATCAGTGCCATCAGTACTTACTTGCACAACTACTCCAAAGGAACCAGTTCCAACAACATGTTCTGCTATGTAACTGACAGCCTGTCAACCCAAATAAAATTCAGAGCAACATAAATTAAAATAGAAGATCATGCACACCATCTGAAGTTGTGATTCTGCAAATTAGCAACCACCGACCTGCTTGGGTTGACCATTTCGGCCACCAGTATTGGTCCTAATGACATGTCCTGTTTCAGCACCCACACCATCAATTATATCAGGTTCACTGTCCTGCATCACGAAAGATGCTTTTTTGGTAAGTGAATTAAGTACAACAAGTTCATCATAAACTAGGCATTCTATGTGAAATAATGTGCGAGTGTTGGGTGGTAAAATGACAAAATGTCCATAAGTTGAAATGTTAATATAGTTGGACAGATGGTGTTGAGATGGATACATATCTGACATTCATACTAAAATGGATAAAATAAAAAATAACAACACACGCCATTAAGTGAAGGTAGTTTCAATCGAGGATAAAATCAGGACAGCTTAGGTAGTTGTGATAAGCTTCCTAAAGAAACTGATGTTCATAAGAGTGATGAGATCTCAAAAAAGCATGTCAGAAGATAGGAATAAACCAAAACAAACATGGCCTGTCGTAATTGTTAAGGGCCTAGCTACTTTAGATCTTCCAGTAGCAATAAACTGAACGAAGTAGCCGCAAAAATTTTCATAGTTGATCCTTTGAATGTACTAAGAACAAGGATACGCTTCTTGGTGATAGGGGTGGTAAGATAAATTATAATTTACTCATCACAAGACTAAAATGCTTGGATTAGCAAAGAAACCAGTCGTAACAATAGCTACTTAGCGACTACAAAAGAGGTAATAAATCATGAGGGGATAGATTGATAACCACTGCAAAGCTTACCCTATCATCATCAGGGTCCAATCTGTCCCTCAATCTCATTTCTAGCATCTCCTTTCCAAGCCAATCAACTGAACTAGATGATCCCTTGAAACCATTAGATGATCTTGAACTGCCAGCTCCTCCATGTCCTAGGCCAGAAGATGCCATTAGTGAGTCTGATGAGTATTAATGTACTTGTATCTGCCCCTTTCAGGATGATTGTTCAGCTATCTTCCTATCCATAAGTTCTCTTCTCAGCAGGATAGTAGTTTTTTATGCGGCTTTCCATTCCTACTCCTCTTTACCTAACATATTAACAAAATCCTTGTCAACGTTGCCAAAGACTGGGCCAGGTAGGAATAAGAGAAGGCCAATAAGTTTTGTTTTGCCTTTCGTCAAAATTGTTGCAAGTAACACAAACAGCAGAAAGTAAAAACTTATTTTCTACTCCATACATCAAAGACCAACTCTAGTTCCCAGGATAGAAGTATTGTGTAGAATAGATCCACTAGGCGAAATAGAAAGAGATCTTTAATATATATTTTTCTAATTCATGTAAAGCAACAATAGCAACAACAAGCAGATAGATTGGCAGACCAAGTTGGTTTATAGGGCCTTTTGATCACGCCACGAAATATTTCCGAAGAGTCAATTAGATGGAAAAAGACCCATAAAATACTGTAAATATCGACACTGACACATATGCTGGGAAGTGGGAAAAATACATAATCACTTGAACAATTTTTCCATTTCTGCAAGCAACAAATGTAAATGGTAGGGTGACATTGATATTACAACACACTATGTTATGAAATTCTTAATTCTCCATATAGTTATATAAATCTTATCAAAGCTCCATGCTTTTATCTTTGTTATGCTACCACATAAACAAGACAGTTACGCTATACAAGTGCTTTTGCAAAGAAATAATACAATCTGGAAAATAGAATACAAGCCTCCAAGTCCAATTACATTAAATAGTAAATAGGGATGCATGTTTTTTTGTTTCAAGGAGCAAAATCTATTCTAGCCAAAGTTTCTCTCGTGCTTGTCAATTTGAAAGTAAAACTGCATTATATCTTCTTAAAGGATGGTTGTTGGTAACATTACATTTCTATCACATGCAGCATTCTCCAGATTATTTACATAAAAATAGGATGAATTCAAAGCTATGATATGAAACACTGTAGACAATTCACATAGATTTCTCTTTGAGTTGATAACCCAAATGGTCAATGAACTTTGCAAAAAGTTTTCACGGGGTCACTGAACTTTAAAAATCACCCAAATTATCACTGAACTTTATAAAATATTTTCACGGGGTCACTCAACTTTGCAAAAAGTTTACATGAGGTCAATGAACTTTAAAAATCATCTCACTCATCACTAAACCTTACAAAAAGTTTCTCATGCCCCTAGGAAACTTTTTACAAAGTTCAGTGACCCAATGAAAATCTTTTGCAAAGTTTAGTGATGAATGAATTGATTTTTAAAATTCAATGATCCCGTGGAAACCTTTTGCAAAGTTCAGGGATGACTTAGGTGATTTTTAAAGTTCAGTAATCCTTTGAAAACTTTTTGCAAAGTTCATTGACCATTTGGGTTATTAACCCTTTCTCTTTTGGTTGGTATTACTGGATATTTGTGAAAATTATGTAAGGATTGCTAAGCCCGAGATTGATCCCTTTGTGTCTAGTCCATAATGGCCTTTTAATTGATTTTGACTATGTAGCATTTTGCTTGGCTTTATAATTGAAAATGAGTAACAAGATACTTATCCAATGCAACTATACAAGTGCTTGAAAAGACAAAATACAATCCTGACAATTAGATTCAAGCTTTTCAGTATTTAAAAAGGCTGAACTGGATTTGGAGGCATTTTGTCTCTGTCAGCCTATGTGTAAGCTTGAGGCACTTTAAGTTGTAAGCTTCAATAAAATCATTGAAGGAAAAAAATCAAAACATGTAGAACTCCATAAATAATATAAGATCTCAATAAAATTAAGATTCTACTTTGTCTTTAGAAATGTCAAAACATTAAAAGATAATAATCCCCTACTTCAAAAAAAGAAAGTGCAACTTCACTTGAGGGGCATTTAACTTGTAAGAGGCAGGGCAAGTCTGGTTTCACTTGTTCTCTTCTATAAATTTCAATAAGTTGCTTTCTGGTTTTCAGAGTTGTGTTTTTATTAAAGCAACTCGGAAGATAACCTTAAATAAGTCAGACGCTATTAAAAAAGCCCAGAAAGTTTAGGCAATTAAAAGAAAGGCGCAGGGGTAAATCGAGCTCTTAGCAATACTCAATTAGTACCAAATGTGCTTTATTACTTTGTTTAAAGCTGAAGCTGAAATCCCAAAATGATCTAGTGAATTTTCCAGTCTTTGAAACTTCTAACACATCAAAGGACCACAAATCGAACCAGAATTTGAGTACAATTCATAATTCCTCCTCCCAAACTATTTTAGTAGCCAAAAATATACTGAGAAGATCGTGACAGATTTAGCATTAGATCATTAGATAATTTGCCGTCTGCTTCCAAAAAAACAATTTACCTGATCAATTAGATCTAAGTCCTACACTCCTCTAATTAATCTACACAATCGCACTGGCAAGTTAATGTAGTTTCCCTCTTCTTTAGCTTCATCGAAATGACTCCAATTGCAAATCAAAAACTATCAGTAAAAAGAACATCAAATTATTTCAAGTTTCAAATTCCATAGAAAATAACGCATATTTACTCACCTGGATTAAGTTTTCTCCCAGTCCGAAGCAAATTCCAAGCATTTGCCGAACCCTTCAACTCCCAACAAAAATTGCAAATATTATTTTAATTCAAGCCTTCCAAAATTGGAGATTTTGAAGGAAAACGCAAAAAAAATATACAAGATGAGATCAGAATCAAAGATGGAGCACTGTTGGTATTGATTACAACTTCACTCTTTTCCCCTTTTCTTATTTTAGACTTTTTCGCATCACTTTTTCCTTGGTTCTCTCTCTATCGCTAAATTCATCTGTGTAAAGTGATATGTATGGATTGAGTAAGAAATTTGCGTGCGAATTTCAATACACACTGACACTGCGATACTGTGTCAATAAGTACAAATTTGAACTCCCATTTGTTTCTCATTTTTAAAAGAGGATGAAAATATAATCATTACGAACTCTATACAAGAGATATAAATTTAAATTTGATAGTTTGATATAATATATAACGGTCATATTTTTCATTTTAATGGGAAAAAAATGAGAACCAAACATGGGCTAATTGTTGGTATAGTAGGAATTTTGATAATTAATTGTTTTTTATCTTTAGAGATAAAGTGAATTCTGTTTATAAGAGAAGAATGTAAAAATGACGATTGAAATAATGAAATAACAGTCTAAAAATTAATTTTAATTGACTTTTAAGTTTTACCAAACAAGCCCTAAATTAAAGTTATATGGATCATATAAATTTATTTTTATTTGATTAATATCTTTTGTACCATTAGTACTGTAGAAGAATGCTACAAGTATTGCAATTTTAATATCATGATTAACAATTCTCTCACATGCAAGAAGTGGGATTCACGATTGTGAGTGAGCTATCAAAAAGAGTGTACAACACTCGACATTTTTTAATAGTATATAGCATTATACAACAAATTTCACATTTTTAGGAGTACGATCAGATAACGAAAAATTCCAAGAATACCGTATTAAATGGAGGAACTTTTGAAATAATAAACACACTGTCCATTAAATACATGAATTATGCTTGTTATACAGTGATTTTTACAACATGTTACGTGGCAGGTTATTATTGGATGGTTTGAAAAATACTTTATTTTTTCCATCAACATTTTTTTGACACCTACATCATTGTCAAGCATGTTGCACAAATTCATTGTACAAATGGCTTATTCCTAAATACATATATCGAACAACTTTTTTATTTTATTTTATTATTAAGTAAATAACAAATTTTATTATTTATAACACATTGAACTCACTACAATCATTTGCATTATATAGTTATTTGAAATGCAAATAAGTCTCCATTAGATTTTGGAAAATTGACGTAGATGACCTCAAACTTTTGCTTAAATATCATTTTTTTTTCCCCAAGTTTGAGATGAGGCGTAAAAGCTCCCAAACCTTTGGGGCAATTGGTCCTTTGAATGGAATTCATCCAAAAGGCAATAAGTGCAATATACAGTTACCCTTATTTTAAGAGCAGTCTTGTAAAATGACTTTCTACACCCACGCGAAAAAAGAACAAAACAAAAACAAAAAACAAAAAAACTCTCATCTAAAAATCAAGAAAGTCATTTTATGTAACTAGTACAATCTTGCCACATCACGCAGCTCTTACACAATTAACTTCAAATTGAGTTCCTAATAATTATGTTGAAGAAAAAAATCATGTTCTCCACTACAATGATTCTTCACCAAATTATGACAAATTAGCAAGAAAAAACTCAGAAAACTCATTAGAAACCCAAGAAATGAACAACTTTACACTGGCAACTTAAGAAAATTCAATTTGGGCAAATATTTACAACCATTCAACACGCAAAATGGGGTAAAAATTGAAGCTTTATAGTTTGGATGGGAGAGTATCTAATTCTATACTGATCAAAAGTAAAGATCATCATACTACAAATTCCATTTTTTTCGAAACTGAATAAAATTTGATATGGGTGAACCATTAAAGACTGCAACACAAAAATAAGATAAATGTTGTAAAGTGAAAATTATGTGTCAATGTGTGCAGATAAGGGTTTTGGAGACACCAATACACTGTACACGTGTTACAGCACCTGTATGGTGCATTTTCTGCTCATATTTAGTCCAAAATCAATGATTTTTTGCCAAGTATTGTTCTAAAAAATTTTGACAACCATTTCCTATTTGGAAGAGAGAAGATTAGTATCAATGATGGCAGTTTATTGTGTGTGGCGATGATGGTTGGGTGGAAGAAGATTGAACTTCATTTTATTTTTGCTCTCTTGTAGTTTTTAACGTTTTGAGTGGAGAAAGCCATTTGATGAAACTGTCCCTCGAAATGAAAAACAAAATAAGGGAAATTGAATTGTATGGATATAACTAATGGTTTTTATCAGGTGAATTCCGTCTAAAATGATCATTTTCGCAAATAATAATAATTGTTTAGGACCATTTGCACTAAATTTAAAGGATTTGAACTAATAATGCAATTGAGCCAAGAGTTTGGAATCGTTTGCACCAATTTCCTTAGATTTTCACCCCTTTTTCACATTTCACTATTTAATCTCTGATTATTAGATCATTCGTAGATTTTTAAAAGAGTCGCTATTTTCATCAATCGTTTTTATAAATTTATCCCAATCTAAATTTATCCTATTAAAATTTTAAAAAGTAATATATACATCCATATTAATTTACAACGTTATCCTTATCAAACTCATATTTAAACACTATATATTCACATCATTTTTATATATCCATCCTATAACCATTTTGAAAAATTAATATACCTACCCACTTTAAAATACTATTGAGAGTTTTAGCATAGCTTACACAAATGGGATTATCCCTCTTTTTGACAAAAAACTAAGCAACTTTTTAAAATTCTTTTATAATATAAATCTAAATGAAAATATTTAATAAAAACCAAAATAATCTTCACCCGATCAATTTTAAATAACTCGATTATGGTATGGCATTAGCATTTTCGTAGGCATTCCAAGGGTCCGAATGTTGCACATCAGAATGGTGAATTGCCTCTTATTCATTACTTATTTATTCTTTTATTAATTTATAACATGAAATATTTTGAACATAAAAACGGTATATAATGAATTAATTTTATGTGAAGTGGAAAGATTGAAAAGGTTGACTGTATTTTAAATTAGCAAATGATAGAATGACACGTGATACTATGTAAAGTTTGATGTACATTTTGCAAGATCCAAATAAGTTTACATTTTTTAGTTCAATGTATAGTCTAAAAGAATATAAAAAGTTTAAAGGTGTTTGATGAAGATAAATATTAGTGGATGTGATATATTTTATTTGATTTTATTCTTGTTTGATTATGTAAAATTTACATAATAAAAACTACAATATATAATTTGGTCAACAGTGCATAGAAATATATAAAATGGTGGTTGAGTTGTTCAAATGTATTGATAACAAGACACATCATAAGTAGTTCATATTTATTGAGTAACAAGACACATTAATTAGTGATATAAAATTAAACAATCAATTATACTTTGGAAAAAAAAAACGAGTTATAATTTGGAGCATATTTTAAAAAAAGAAAAGGCAAATATATGTTTATGGGACGAAAGGAATATAAAATATCCTGATATATTATTCGTCAAATAAAATAAAATGAGGATAAAATAAAAATATTTTCAAAACAAAAAATGAGAAAAGTCTGCATTTACCACAACAAACATTTTAGTCTATAGTATTCATTTTTTATTTTTGCTTTTTCCGACATTTTTCGAGTTTACTATGAGTCTGTTTAGGAGTGATTTTGAGAATTGATTTTTTTATCGTTGGGAGAAAAGTGGGGTTCAACTATTAGAGAAAAAGTCAAATATTACGGCTGAAATAATGAAATAACGGTCAAAAAATTAATTTTTTGGGCAAAAAAATCACTCTCAAACAAGTTGTATATATGATAGAAGAGATGTATATCGAGACAACAATTCAATTCAGTGACGTAAACTTGTCGCAATTAGCCAGCTTCGCTCACGTGATATTTAGTCCTTATTTGTTTATCATTCTTCAAATTATTATTTTTTTTAAATTCATTTTAAACCACACATTCATGCAATAAAATATTTTGTACTTAAATCCAAAATTTTCCCTACTTTTTAACTATATATTTTCAAAAAAAAAAATCACTATTTCAAAGCTCATTTTTTATCAAAAAAATTATAATGAGCATAAAGTGATGGCTTTAAACTAAAACAAAATTGAAATTTTAAACATGTAAAATATGAAGTTTGAACTATGAACTCAAGATATGGATAACTATGAATAAAAATATTTAAGTTATCTAATGGATAAAAACAAGATTTATCAACTCAAATTAAATGAAAAATGATTTGTGTACAGAAAAATTTTCTACAGAAAATTTACAGATATCTCACAAAGGTGTGAGCCCTGCATGTTTAAAAAATGTCAAAAAAACCCTCCCACACACTCTACCATGTAAATTGTCGGTAGGTGTTCTACTTGTACACCAATCACTTCTCAAATTAAATATAGAAAAAGTCATACGTACAAGCTTTTAGTTTACAAATTTTTTACAAGTACTGCTTGATTGGATCTATTTTTTCCCCAACTTCTAATTCATTTTCGTCATGTGTTTATCTATGGAAAAAACCTATAAGTGTAGTATGATTCTTAAATACAAAGATGAACAAAACCTTTTTTTCAACAATAATGAAAAACCAACTAAAACAGCTAAGCCCGCGTTTTAAATAGTTATTTTTAGGAAAATGTGTTATTAAAAAGTAAGAAAATAAATTAAATTTATGTACAAAATATTTTGTTATATGAAAGTATAATTAAAAATGGGTTATTCCTGAGAGCCCTATCGCCTGCTCGACAAGGGTTTTTCCATGTGAAAATAAGTATGTAAAAGAAGAATTTAAAAAATATAGTTGTCAAACGAACAGTGGCCAATAAGGTTGAATGTTGATACGACTTTGTAAGCACATAATTCCGATGGTCAAGGTAGGGCCATCTCAAACGCATCTGTCGATTTCTTCCAGAATTTAAGGTGTACAAGCCACGTGGTCCCACATTAGTTGTTGGAAATTTACTTACACGTGGCAATACATTGTAGAATAGGACTTTGGAATTAAATTTCAGTTGTGTGATTTTCCAAAGTTCTAAAAAAATAATTTTGAAACTTCTAACACTGCCCCGTTTGGCCCCCATTTTGTAGAAAAATTAATGGGTGAAATAGTATTTTTTTTGAAAAATGAGTGGTTGAAAAAAAAAAAAATTTCGATTTACGTATAATATTATTTTATTAAAGATTATATTATTGAAAATAGGAGAGAGAAAAATAAAATTTAATGGAATGAA